ATTACCAGCCTATAATCCTCTTCACCAAAGAAACTAGGAAACATGAAGAACTCTAAGGGATAAATGGACCCCAGAAATGGGAAATGGCATGAACTCCTGAGCTGATTGGGAGCATGAGGGTAGGGGAGAGGGTGCTGCCACAATAAGAGCACAAGAAGAACAGGAGTACAGGAGAGGAAATGGAGGAGCAGAAATATTGAGTTGGTGGAAGAATAGAGGAGAGAGAGCAGGATGAGAGATACCATATCAGAGGGAGCCACTATAGGTCCGAGAAGAGATCTGGAACCAGGGAGATCTCCAGAGACCTACAAGGATGACATGATCTGACAATCCAGGCAATGGTGGAGAGGATAACCTAAAAGCCCTTCCCCTGAAATGAGATTGATGGCTTCTCTTTATGCCATCCTAGAGCCCTCATCCAGTGGCTGATGGAAGCAGAGACAGACATCCACAGATATACCCTGAGCTGAAATCGGGACTTTAGTTGAAGAGAGGGAGGAATGAAGAGTGAAGGGGTCTGTACCAGGTTGGAGAAACCTAACAGGAACAGTTGGCCTGAACAAGGAAGGGCACATCCACCCCAGATGCTGTCTGGGAGGCCAGTACAAGACTGAGCCAGACCCCTGAACATGGATGTCAATAAGGAGGCCTCTGCACTCCAGGGAGCCTCTGGTGGTGGATTAGTATTTTTTCCTGGTGCAAGAAGGGACTTTGAGAGCTTATCCCACGTGAAGGGTTACACTCTGGCCCTGGACACATGGGGAAGGGCCAGGACCAGCACAGGAAGATTTGGTGGACTTTGCAGAGCCCCCATTGAGGGCTCTACCCTGCCTGGGGAGTGGTGGGTGGATGGGGTGGGGAATAGGTTGGGGGTGAGGGAGGAGGGATGGGCATGAGGGGAGGGAGAGGGAGAAGGGACTTACATGTGAAACAAGCTTGTTCCCTAACTAGAACTAATAAATAAATTGAAAAAAAAAGAATATTTTACCTAGAGAACTGTCCTTCAACAAGAGGGAGAAGTAAACTAACAAGATGGCTCAGTGGATAAGGACATTTGTCTCCAAACCTGATGACCTGAGTTCAGCTCCAAATCTCCCTTGCTGGACCGAGAGAACTGAGCCCTACAAGCTATCTTCTCATCATCATACATGTGCTGGGACACACATATGACTCCCACACTGCCAAATTAAATAGATAAGTGTTAAAAGGGATTTTTAAAAGGAAGATGTGAAAATCAAAAGGCAAGCGCCTAGCTTCACCTTTCAGGACTTGTCAAAGGAGTTCTTTAAGGCTTTAAGATTAAAAGTGGAGCTAATTGATTAATAAATAAATACAAATATACAGAATTCAATATCGTAAGTCATATGTAGTCATATTTAGAATACTATACGGAAAAATAGAAGGAAAACTTATCTATAATAGAAGGTTTAAAAGAAAAATGTATTTTTAAAAACTATACCTACAATTAATTGTAGGGGAAACTGTAACCACTCCTGCTAGGGGCTGGCTACAGGTGTGCCTAACCACGCCTTCTAGGGCGTGGTCAGGGTGATGTATGGAAGGTTTAAGAGTGAGGGGCACGCACCTGGCAGGCCCCTTCTTCTGTTTCATCTTTGGCTTGCTGTACTTACTGCTGCCCCGCCGGCTGGCTAGGTCGCTCTGTAAGTAAGGCTTTTACCTAATAAATTCCCTGGCTCCATATTGGTAATTCCCACAATAATTAATTATTATAATAAATGTTACAAAAATCTGAAAATTGGATTGAACTCTAATTTCCTGAGCCTAAAACAGTTGCCAATAACCATTAAAAATTCAAGGAACATTTGTGAATGGATAAGTGGATTGTCAAAGGAGTGACATATTCATTTTTTAAGCTTTATGATATAGCCTGGGTACCCAGGTCAATGGTTGGGTTTTATTTTACTCTGAAAAAGCCACTTCTTGTCTTAATTTTGATGTGACCATCTATCAAGGTGGTCAATGTTCAATAATTTAAGAAACTCATGGACAAAGCATGTCATAAGAAATTATTAGCTATGGTTTCTCAGAGAATCTGAACCATTTCAGTGATGTTCATGGATTTGGTTTTGTTGGAAATCAAATGATTTATTGAATATAGCCAGCAATAGAGTGAACTCTCTAGTCACATAAGTAGGTATTCTGTCACTATGTTTTAGACAACAAAAAGTGGTTGAGTCTTGGTCAGGGATGTTTACAGAGACCTTTGTTCTTGTAGGCAAAGTAGGCCCAGAGTCTGTGGGCCACAAGAGCCAGGAACATGTCTACCCTAGAGTCTGTGGGTCACATGAGCCCAGGGCATGTCTAACCCAGAGTCTGTGGGTCACAAGAGCCAGGAACATGTCTACCCCAGGGTCTGTGGGTCACAAGAGCCTGGAACAGCTCTGAATTCAGCCCAACACAAAACCATAAACTTACTTAAAACATTAATAGAGTTTTTGTCATATTTTAAGTCCATTTAGCTGTTATGTAGCATGCACTTTGTAAATGATGTTGGCATGTGACTAAATGTCAAAATGACTAGAAATGTTTGCAAGATGTTAAAGTGATCTTCCAATGTTCTATGAATTTCTTTTGAAAAACATGCACATAAAAACATTCAGTCTATATGGACAGTATAGGAGAGGAGAAAAGAGAGTCCTGGGGTCCCAGAAGAATAAACACATCATCCTCTCCCACCACAGCACTGGTCTTTTATTAAATGTCATTCAGAATGTTACTGTGGAGGCATTTGGCAGAGCGTCATCTTCCCACTGGATACTTCTCGTTTTCTTTCATAACACACACTTTTCATCTATCTAACTTATGGTTATATTTAAAGAATTTGGTTAGAATTGCTTGGTTTTATCACACTTATGTGTCCTCCTATTTTTTCATCAGATTTCCTGTTCGAGCCTTGTTTATTAGGCAGAACCCTGATGTCATTCTCTAACGACATTTTTTAACTTGTTCAGATATCTCCAGTTTTCTTGAGACAAGGTCATGACTAGACACGATGAACATTTGCCAGAATAAATGCTAAGTGAGACTGCTGGGAAACAACCCAGAAATCGACAGGCATTACCCAACAGCCCGAGGCATCACTGACACAGCTGTGCTGCACTTCAAGCGGGCTCGAAGATGGCTTCAGATAGAGCTTTGAAGCTGTATAGGAACTAAACTGACTTCTAGGTCAGCAAGCAGAGCTGCAGATGGGTTTTCAGCCAGGTCTCACAGTAGGTCATTTTGAGCTAATCAAACTGCTATAATCCCACCATCATTAGAAACAGTAAAATAGAGGGGGAAATGGGTAAGAAGGTTTATATCATTTTATCCAGAAAAAAAAATCAGGAATATGGACTGATGGGGGTGGGGAGTAGCACAGTAAAAGACAGCAAATGTATTCATTTGGCTTGATAGTATTAAACAAAGTAGCTACCTGAAGCAATTATGTGTTCTTACTGCCACCCTGTGGCCATATGAAAGAACTATATATTCCTTCTAAATTTCAGCCACCCTTTGAAAATAAAGGATCAGGCCTTGCTCTAAGTTCCTCAAAATTACGTAACAACTTATATCTGTGCAGAATTTTAAAAGGCTTCCTAAAGAAAGAGTGACCAGGACCATGGTGGGCTGGCTCAGTACAGAAGTCGATAGTCTGTGGCAAAGTTAGAAGATTCTCTGGTTTGTCCGTTCAAGGCTGTGCTTTCTTGATGTTATTGTCAGGCCTTCAGCAAAGTGTGAAAGCAAGCCTTAAGTACTGTGTAACGAGACCTTGACTGCTGTAGAATATTATCTTAAGGTTGGTTACTTTTGTTTATGCTCTGGAACATTTGTTTAATGATTCAAAGACGTGCTTGATTACATAAAATTCACCGGCAGTCAGCAGGCTGTGTCAGCAACTAGCCAACAAGAAGTCGTAGGGAGGAGCCAGGTGGAGAAGGGTTTAAAAGGAGGGATGAGAACGAGCACTTGTTGGAGGACTGGAAGAGGTGAGCTAGGTTAGCTGCTCTACCTCAACCTTTGCGTCTCTAGTTTTTTAGTGGGACAGAGATTTAAATAAGTTTTCTTAGTAGCTTTGAAAGAGTCGGTGCCTGAGGGAACAGGAGTGGCAGTTATCGAGTAGGATAGCTGTTGCTTAAAAGGAAACAATAATTAAAAAAGAAAAACTACAGGGCATCACTTAGGTAAGCCACAGCCATGTGGAGATACACAGATTAATAGTAATGGGTTAACAATTAAGAGAGAGCTAGCCAGTAAGAAGCCTAAGCTAATGGCCAAACAATTATAATTATATATTAAGTCTCTGAATAGTTATTTCATCAAGCAGCTGTGAGACCTGGTAGGTGGAGAGAAAACAGGTCCAGTGGGGCTGAGACAGATGGAGAAAATTTCCTTCTCCACTGGAACATTAACACTGCCATCCTGTGTCCGAAGTTTCTGCAAGTAGAGTGAAGACAATGGGTGGCAGCCCTAACTGCTGGCATTTGTGGCAAGTGGCTGAGGAATCTGTAACACCCTTTTTAGTGACTCCCAGGCAGGGAGGCCAAGGGACTGGTGATTAGGCAAATTAATTCCCTACAACACTCCTAAGGGTTTCTCTCTCTCGTGTTATTACAGGAGGGGCACGTCCACATACCTTTCTGCTTTTGTTCCTCAAGACGGTTTGCAGCATGCATATAACTCAATTTCCGGAAAATATGAATGGTCTTTGTCACCGCAGATGCTGGGCCTGCACTCTGAATCAGTTGGTCCGCTAACTCTGTCCTGTTTGTAGCCTCCTCCAGTCTGCTCCTTGAGATCTCAAACTCATTTGGGACCAAGAACTTGAACCGTTTCAGTTCCTCCTCCTTGATTTCATCCAGGCCGGACAACAACAGTATCTCTCTATATTCATTCTCCATCTCACAGCCTCGAGATCAGCCTGAAACAAAACCGTAAGACTACAGGACTGGAAACAAGTCTATATTCAGGATAGTCAAGGTGAGTGCTCAGCAGAAAAACCACATCTGTAAGAAGATTATTGACAGCCAAGTTGAAAAGTGCTCCAAAGACATGTAAGAGTATGTTTGACATGACTAATAATTAGTTACTTGGGAGAGAACCAGGTAGAGGATGTCATGAGAGGAAAACAACTCGCCAAAGACCTTGAGGGTCCCCACCAGTGCAGCCAATGACACTGAGCTACAAAAAGTATGGTTAATGTGGCAATGCTATTGTTCCTGGCAAAGACTGGGCAGGTAGGAAGGGATGGAGTGGCTCTGCTTACATGGGTGTTGCTCATACTCTATACCCTAAACTACCATCAGCATCCTTAAGAAATACACCCAAAATAGCCACAGTGATAACTCTGCCCCAGTGCACCAGTCTTTTTGACAGCACTGAGGAAGGAAATCTCCTTTGGCTTAGTATGTGTAGCATGCTAATTATATCAGCATGCTTCCTGCTGGTCTGTGTGAAACCTTCATTTTCCTCTATCTCTCTTCAATAGAAATATAATTGCATTTAATAACATTTTACATGAAAAAAATAAAACTGATTTCTGTGAAGGTTCTTTACCTTATTTGCTTACAGTTTGCATTTTGTTACATAATAAGTCTACTTGAAAAGTTCTCACATATTTGTTGGATGAAACTCAGTAGTAGACCATATAACTACTATGCAGGATGCCCTGGGTCCAATGGCAAGCACCACATTAAAAAAAAAAAGTGAAGTGGTTAGAGGGTGGGTTATATGCAAAGGAAATGCATTCACTTCTGATTGGCCGCCTCATGGCCAGCAGTAGGTGCAGCTGTAATTTCACAGTGCTATGCCATGTACAATGTGCATTCAAAGTGCTTGCACAGGAAGCTTAGAAGATGGGGAAAAAAGCATATAGGCAGGACTGACTTATCTCTAAATTAGGAGGATTCTTGCCACCACACAGAGGTGGCCAGTATGGCCTCCCTGAAAAACATCAGCAATTGTAGGTTAAATTTAGTATTCAAAGTGGAATGGCTTACCTGATGCCACACAGCTTGTAAGGTAGATGGCTCAACCTCAAGTCTCCTAAATTCAATCCCTTTTCTCTTTTTTTTGTTAACTGCCTTCGTATTATTCGAAGAATGTGAAATAACACCTTTAAATTTAAAAAGATTATATATATTAATTATATTATATATAGATTTATTGGGTATGATTTGAAGACACCCATTCCTTAATTAACTATATCTAACTCACTGGCAATTTTAATAATAATATAATAATTGTCATGTTTATCCCTTGCTGAAACCATTTATCTGTCTTCACAGGGTGTCTGCATAGCTGAAACCCAGCCTCTGTAGATTTCTGCTCAACCTTCCGTGGGTGCATTTTATGAAACAGGACCTGGCCCTGTTCCTCTCTGTTACCACACACTGTTTCCTTTCTTCTCTACTTGTCTACTTAGAAATCCCGTAGTTTTTGTTTGTGTTTTAGTTCACATTCTGTGCTGGGATGAAAGTGACTTGTGGGCAAGGGCTCCATTGTTCATTTCTGCAGTCCTAGCTCCTAAAATAGCACCAGGGATACAGCAAGTATTCACTAAACTCTTGTGGGGTGAGTAGGCTAGGCTTCTCCAACTAAAAACAGCTCTAAGCATCTCTATGTTCTGGGCTGTATTAGGGGTGCATCCGGTTTGACTAAGAAGCCCAGTTGAAAGATAGCAGAACAAGATGGCAGCTAAATAAGCACCCTGAGCAACCATCTTCCCACAGGCACACAAACTTTGATCAACTGTTTACAGTCCAAACTACCCTCCCCATACCCAAAGAAGTCATTTGAGAGACCATTGCGTCTAGATTTGTTCATGGTGGTATGTTTTCAGGCCCGTGAATTGTGGAGCTCAGCGGGACAAGGAGTTAAGTCCAGGCTTTAGGCTTTACACTCAGCTCCAGGCCATCACAATGAAGCACTGCCCTGGGCTAAAATGAGCAACTCTAACTATGTTAGCCAGACTGCTGATTTCCTCTAGCTCTCCTCCTTGGATCTAGCTGGGGCACAAGAATGGAGGAAGAGGACTCCAGCCACAGGCAACTAGCCCAGAATTCTGCTTACTGTGATGGGAACTGGTGGAAATCAGAAAAGAAAAGCCTTTAGAGCCAGGCCACTGTTCACAGATGAAGTCTCCCAGATAGCACTAGCATTTAAACAGCTGCCTGCATGCCAGCGGGGCAGACTCAAGTTTGGCTTTATTGTTGCCAGCCTTGAAGTGGGCAAAGTACACAGTCCTACTCAAACTCCATGCTTTTCTCTGACTGTGAGACCCAGGTGTAATGGTGCCCTTGCTGGATCCTAGGCTTGGGCATCAGCTGGCTTCAGGTTAGTGTCACCAGACTAACCAGTTAGTGTTACCAGATTAAGACATGGCTATCACCAAGCAGAGACTGGGCCCGGCTGTCATGGTGTCATATTTTGGCCTGTGCCTCTACTGGTGTGGCACAGACCTGGATGCACTCATAATGGGTGATTTCACCAGAAGACATGCAAAGAGAGAGAGAGAGAGAGAGAGAGAGAGAGAGAGAGAGAGAGAGAGAGAGAGAGAGAGAGATGAAACAAGTCAGAGCTAACTCTGGCCACTGCCAATAACAGACCTAGCAGCCCTTTCAGGAAGTGGCTGTTGAGGGAGGTAACAAATGAAAGTACATTTGTGTTCCAGAAGCTAAGAAAAGATCATGCTTAAAGTAAACAAAGAACCAACTGTGTCTCTTCTGCTTGTTTGTTTTGCTGTAATGCTAGGTAACCTGTGGACTACAGATCTGTCATGGAATTAAGTGACAAGTAGAGGGACAGGGACAGGAAGCTGTAAAAGGGCCAAGGAAATGAGATAGAAGATTGAGGCAGGGCAGGAAATGGAGAAAGTAATTTGTGCATGTGTGTTTGCTTGCTTGCTTGCTTGCTTGCTTGCTTGCTTGCTTGCTTGCTTGCTTGCTTTCTGCCATGGGAGAAATTAGACTGGTTCCACACTGATGAGAATGATCTAGAAGGGGCAGCGAATTTCGGTATAGAAGAACAAAAGGGAAACTGCATGTGTGAGTGAGCCTTAGGGTGATTCCTCTGCAGCACACCACCTCAAACAAAGGAAACCCACTCTCCATTTCCTGTACCTGATGTCAGCTGTGCGGGACAGACACCCACCTTCCTCGTGCCAAGAGTTCTGAATTCTTAAGGATTTCCCACTGTGTTCATTTGCTGCCTACGGCTGACAACTATATAGCTAGACAGACACAGACTCGGATCCCGAGTCTGCCATTTGCTAGCTGTGTGACATCTGGTAAATTACAACCTTCTAAAGTGTCTACATCCTCAAGTGTAAAGTGGAGGAGAGGTGATCAGAACCGTTAAATGACTACTGTTACAATGCCATGCCATTGAATCAGGAACGTGTAACAGAATGACGTACGAGTAATCACTCAAAGTCAGCTATGAATATAAAAAACAAATGATAGACAGATTAGAGGGAGTGGTGTTTTATGACAAATAGCAGTTTAACCCGGGATGGGAGGTGATGGCTTGTGTTTAAAACTGGAAAAAGAAGATGAAAGGGTGTTTTTCTAAAGCTGTGTTTTGAAAAGACAGAGGAGGCAGAACAGAAGGGAATGGAGAGGTTTGAAGCTTGAGCTCTTGCAAGCTGGAGTGAAATTGCTGGCTCGTTGTCTGGGCTAAATCAGAGGGCTCATGGGCAGATGTGGCCAGTGTCACACGGAGGGAGAAAAGGCATTTACTCAGAGACTCCCAGTGCTGGATGAGGTTTTTAAGTCACTAAGCCACTGGGCTACTGCCCTAGAAGGTCCCTCCGGGACCCTGCAAGAGGAACTGCAGAAAATGTCAGTCTCTTAAAAAAGCCGGCAGGAAATCTTTAAGACAGGTTGAAGCTCAAGAGAAATGAGTCCAATCAAGAGACTCCAGGGAAAAGGGACAGAGCTGAAGTCACAGTAAAGGAAATGTCTACCTTCCAAGGTGATGTCATTTGCTCAGGTTCAAATCCTCAGAGGCTGAGCAGCATGGCCCGTCCCCCAGTCTTCTTTACTTATGGACAAACCATAAGGTCCCCCTGACAGAACACTCTGCTTCACTTCTGATCCCTGGGTGCCCCACAAGCATGTACTGCTGGTCTCCATCTGGCACATGAAGCAGTTTTACAGTACCACCGCCCTCTGTCTCCAGGCACCACAAAGATTCCCAGGCCCCCAGGTCCATAGCGGGTAGGATCCAGCTAAATCAGCTGAGATAATCTTCCTTTCCTAGCTACCAAAAAAAGTAATTCTTGTAGACACTTCCTGTTGATTCACCCTAAAGATACAGTGACTCAAAAAAAAAAAAAAAAAAAAGGAAAAGAAAAGAAACCGAGAGGCTGCAAAAAATAATAACAGAAGACTTCCTGGTACTTGTGTAGCAAACAGACTTACAGGAGCACTTGATTTCTGATCACTAACAGACATTCTCACCATACATAGAGGATAAAGGCAAGACTGAGATCTTAAGGTCACCCTGGTGTACACAAATGTTTGACTCTAAAGTCTATGCTATATGACAGCACGTGACCCAAAACTAAAACCCAACTAAAATAAAACCAAAAATCAAAATAAAAAAGGATTTGCTGGTCTCAGAGGGCAAACAAAATTACACGTAAAATCCTCCATCGTTACCCAGGCTCCTGCCCCGAGTTTGAAGCTGTTGATGTGAGCATTTGTTTCTAATTCAATGCATCATCAATGATGATGCAAATATTTACAGTGATGGTCAGAAGTGAGAGTGTAAATGCAAATGGGAAGGTTCTAAGTGTTGAGTAGCTACTTGAAGTCATGGAAGTAGAGGTATGATTTAAAACATATAGTAACATGTTATGCAAACAGCTCTAACAGAAGCAAACTCCAGAAGTCACAAGGGTGGATGAAGACCATCTAACCATGCCCTGTGATCACATAACCATCCAGGCAATGTAGGACACCCTTTTATCTCTCACTGTTTATACTATATTATATTATTTATATTATATATTATATATTATATTATTGTCCCTTATAAGACTGTTTATTTTCTAATGAGGGACAGAAAGGGAGAAAAGTCATATAGGAGAGGAGGTGGGGAGGCTCTAAGGAAAGTGGAGGGAGGGGGAACTATAATCAGGATATACTAAGTGAGAAAAATAACTGCTTTTACTAAAAGTGGGAAAGGGGAAGTACCTTTTAGTTATTGCATTACTTTTTCTCCTTTGTCCAAGTCATTCATTCAGTTAACCATGCTTATTTGGGTCTACATTTAGGCTTTGTGCTCTGACCCACTGATTACATGTTTTTTTTTTAATGTTTTGATTCTTTATATGTATGTGTGGGGGCCTGTATGAGTGCATAGAAAACCGTGGAGTCCAGAAGAGGTATAGGATACCCTAGAACTGGAGATACTAGCAGATGTGAGCTGTTCTATATGGGTATTGAGAACCCAACCTGAGTCCTCTGCAAGAGCAGTAAGCACTCTTAACCTCTCCAGCCTCCTGATTGTATATTATTTCCCCACTGTCACCCTGTCTTGGTTTCCAGTCTGACTTTTAGTCTCAAATGTGGGTGAATCCTTCAAGATTCCATGAACTTTTTCCATATAAATTTTTTTCTTTTTTTATAATTTTTTCCATTCATTTATTTAGCTCATAAATAAAGTCATGCACAATTATGATACACAATACAGTATGTTCACAATGGCATGGCTAAATTAAACCAATTAACATGTTATATCACACATATTCATCATTTTTGTTTTGAGAACACTTAAAGTATACCATCTCACAACTTTTAAAATATAGCATATTGTTATCAACCATATTTATCATGCTCTCAGTAGACCTCAAGACTTCACAGAGTCCATGCCTCTTGTCCAACTGCAGTTTTATATCCTTAAACCAATCGTTTCCCCATTGTTAAAAGACACACATTGAAGCCTAATAGCCACAATTCTGCTGTTCCCATAAGTTCATCATTTCTAGGTTACACATAAAATTGAAATTGTGTGACATTTGTCTTCCAGTGTGTCACTTATTTTATTTTTGGCAAGCATATAACTTTATTGCTTACTAAGGATGAAATCAAATTTGCATGCACAAGTGAGCACTAACTGAAACACCTTGGATTCATCACATACTTGAGTTTCAATTAGCTTATAAATATAAACTTATATTTATATTTATATAAAAAGAGCAATAATGGCAATATGTTATGCATCAATAGCAGCAACAGCTTTTCCAGGTTCTGCAGTCATTTAAACAAAATTGTAGAGACATCCAGCACACTCCCTTTAAAAAAAACAAAAAACAAAAACAAAACAAACAAACAAAAAAAAAAAGTAAAAAACAAAGTCCCAGAAAACAGCATATAAAATTTAAAATCAACTTTTGAGTATCCATGAGGTCATTCATTATAATTTTGATTACATTGAATTTATAAAACAAGTTGGAAAATGACTTATGGACAATACTGAATCTTTCTCTCCATGAACGTTAGCTATGTCTCTATTTTGTTCTTCAATTTATTTTCTCCATTTTGTGGTTTTCTTTATATGTATATTGTACATATTTAGTTGTATTTATGACTAGATAACATCATTTCTTGGAGATAAAATTGGGTTTTCACTTTCAACCACTACTTGTTTGTTGCTCGTATATTTTTTAAAAAGTAAATGACTTTTGTTGTTTGGTTTGGTTTTGGTTATGGCTTTTTAAAAATCTCTCTTGGGCTGGAGAGATGGCTCGGTGGTTAAGAGTACTGGCTGTTCTTCCAGAGGACCCTGATTCAATTCTCAGCACCCACATGACAGTTCACAACTGTCTGCAACTCCAGTTCCAGGGGATCTGACAACCTCATGCCAATGTACATAAAATAAAATTAAATAAATTATTTTTAGAAAAACTCATCAAGGCTTTCAAAGTATTGTACACAAATGTATTCATTAGGCTTTCAATACCCATGGGATCTGTGGCAATATCCTGCCTGTCATTTTTCACACTAGTTGTCTGTTTTTTTTTTTCTGTTAACTGTGAGTTTTGCTTACTCATACAGTAGTATAAAACACTAAATGCCCATCTATTTAGCCAGCAACTGTGAAATGACTGCTCTTGAATATTGGAATCATCTATACTTGTGAGATGTGGGAATTCTCAAAATGGTAAAAAAGAGAGGCATGAGAAAGCTACATTTTCAGCTTTGTTTGCAGGAAACTGAAGATAGATGCCAGCATAGTTAAAACTGGGAAATTAAAAGTGTATTATCATTATAAAAGGCTGAACATGGCCAGGCAAAATGGCACACACCTAACATTGCAGCACTTGAGAAGCAGGCATAAGACAGTTGTCTCAAGTTGGCCTGCATGTCAAGCTCTATGCCAGTCATGACTTCAGAGAGAGACCCTACCTCAAAACAGAAGAAACAAAAACAAAAGTCTAAAATAGTTGCTGCTAGTGGATGGGAATATATGAGGCAGAGTTATTCTCAGTCTCTCTCTCTCTCTCTCTCTCTGCCCAGTGTGAGGGGAAAAAACTAAGGACATTGTATATGCTAGGCTGGCACTCTACCACTGAGCAATATCCCCATCCCCAAAGAAGCTACTCTTCCCACCGTTCCGGTACTATTTGAGTTTTAAGCCAAACCAATGCATAAATTCATAAAAAATGGATTAAATCTAAAACATAAGGAGCCCACTAATTTTCGCTAAAACACTTCACTATTCTATCACCGCCAGGACTCACACATAATAACATAATGCCAATTATGATCTGCAATAAAATAAATAATATTTTAGAAACAAAATTAGTTTACATCCAGATAAACAAATTTATAATGGATTCATTAGGGGGAGGAAGCACGTAGACTCATCTTGTTCAGAATTGATTTTATTTTTAAAAAACTTTTGAGACATAATTTCCATTCTGATCCCAAACTTCTCTTGAACTGGTGGTTCACTTGGTTCATGCCTTCAGGGGCTGGAATTAAAGGCAAGCACTACATGCACTACAGTACCTGGCTCAGAGTCAGCTCCTCAGCAAGTAGGAATTCTATAAAGTGGAATGGAAGCTATTTCATAGTTCATATGTGCATGTTATATATAGCATACCACACACACGCACGCATGCACACACGCATGCACGCACAGGTACATAATTGTCTCAGACACAAAGCTAAACTTTATCACTCAGCCACTGAGAGCTAACCTTCTCCCACATTACCTTACAAAACACTAAAATAACCTTGCCTCCTAACTTAAGCTCCTGAACTGACATGAAGTGAAGATGTGAAGTTACTTGCTCAGGAAAACTCCACTAGCTTGTCTATTGTTTTCTGCTAAATTGTCCATTTTCTTCTCCCTGTTATGCATTGCCTTTTAAAAACACATTGAAATAACTCCATACTCAATATACAAAAGCACTGTTAGGAGTGCAAATTAGGCAAACCCTAGAAGGGTAGGTGCTACGATCCCCCAGTTCTGCCCATTCCCATTTCTTGCTCAGCCCATCATCCCCAGAGCCTGTCACAGAGCTCAGAAAACAGCTATATTTCCTTCCACACCAGAATCAAAAAACCTCAAAGTGTTTGAGATTTTCACTGCAAACAACAGAATTGACTCTAGGTAGTTTAATAAAATCTGTTTTCTTAAAAATAATAACCCCTCAGAGATCACTGAAGGCTGAAGGAACAAAGTCCAGCATAAACTCACAGGAAAGGGGCCACCACCTTCTCCCCTACCCACACCTCAAACCACACAGTAAAACTGTTCTGAAGGGAGATGCTCACTGCTGCTGACACCTGCAGAAAGTCAGGGTCTGGCTCCATGGCAACTGCTGCAACTTGCATGCAAACGCTGCCTCTGTGCCAGCAGTCCCATTGCAACTTCAGTTGGTACCTAAGAGCTAGACACTCCTAAAGCAGCCATATTGGCAAGATACATGTCCTACATGGTCCCAGTTCTTATACCAAAGATGTCAGACTCAAACTTCACCAGGAAAGCACCCATTAGGCAAGCCTGGTCTGCTGCAGACATCTGCACTGCAAAGGAAACAGAAAGTTTGCCTGGCTTCTAGGTTGGAGGAGGGTAGGACTAATACATGTGAAGTATTTGTAAGATGCTGGAAAGACCCAAATGTGACATGTGCCCAGAAAAAAATAACAAGACAACAACAACAACAGCAAACCCTGTTCGTAAGACAGCAGATTGAAGGCTAAGACCCAAGATGCTGGGTCAGGAAAACATGAGAACAATGGCATCACTGCAAAAACAGGAAGAGGAGGAGGAGGTCGTGGCAGGTGACAATAATGTGGACTGTGTGTGAGAAGTGTTCAATTTGAGGTACTCAGGAGATATGTAAATAGAGAGGTTTAATTGAATATATGAGCCTGGAGCTTAGATGAAAGGTCAAAACTCTGGATAATGCAGACAGCATCAGAATACAGATGGCAACTGGTGCTGTGAAAAGAATGTGGTAGAGAGGAGAGGAGAGAGATGGAAGCATCCCATAGAGACCCACAGAGCTCAGACAGCACAATGCTGGGCAGGGGAAGAGTGAGAAAGGGAGACTCACAAAGAAGTGTCAGGACACTAGAGAAAAGAAGCAGAAACTTGTGGGTCCCAGAAGCCTGGGCACAGGAGTATGGAGAGCAATAGAGGAGGATACATTTGAAACTTGCTAAGAGAATAGATCTCAGATGTTAATGACATACTTACAATTAAGGATACCTATGTGAGGACACACACACACACACACTCACACGAATGCACACAAACACATATGTACATACATATACACGTGAATTAGCTTGGTTCTATGATAATCATTCCACAAGGTATATACACAGGAAGACAGTACATTATGTCCTGTAAACACATACCAGTTATCTGTGTCAATTACAGCTCAGTAAAGCCAGAGAGAAGACCATTTCAGACCTTCTAAATTCTATTAAGATTTAGGAAACAAGCAATTAGTTATCTACAGATTTTAGCCCCCATTTTCCAATTTCTGGTCTAGCTTTCTTTGCTTATGCTGGGCTATACTGTCCTGAAACAAAGATGAACAGACAACAGGGACAAAGCAAGTGGCCTTGGAGAAAGCTCTAAGCTTCCACAGCTGCAGGATCATATACATTTGCTGCCCTGTGGAGAGTTCTCCTTACCTACTATCTGCCCAATGGCCTCTGTTTCTCAAGTGTGTTGTCTGCTCTCACACTGGCACACTTACCTAGTAGCCTTTGGTCGGGTCTGTTCCTACATCCCTCACTCCCCTACTCTTGAGTTCTGCTGTCTTAAAAAGATCTTGCTGTTCCTTTGATCAATCAATTATCCCAGCCAGGTCTGTCCATACAGTTCACTTCTTCCAAAACCCCCAAGACCAAATCCAGAATATCCAGATCTTCCTATCACAGGAACATGATACACAGAGGTTCATGATAATATACCTTACAAATGAAAATAACATCAGCTTGTGTGACCTTGAGTTAAGTCTCTCAGCCTTCTGAAATACCTAGTCCAGGAGTGTTCCCGAGTGCACCTATGGGGCATTATGAAAATTTAAAGAGTTTAAACAATTAAAATACTAAGAAATGTTAACTGGAAAATATAAAATATTCAGTAAGCACTGTGCATTATTACTAGTATTATGACATTCTTTATATTATTTCTGCTATTTTCATCAAATGGAAACTATTGGAACACGCACTATATTCAAGCATATTGGTTATAAATCAATGTACACATCAGACCAGCCATGGTAGTGCATTTAAGAGGAGGGAGTAGGAAGATCATTTTGAAGCCATCTTTGGCTACAAAGTAAGTTCAAGGCCAACCTGGGCTATATAAGTCTGTGTTTCAAAATAACAATGACCAAAGAGAATGAAATATATGGAGATCTCAATCCACAATTGTTTTTTGTTGTTGTTGTTTGGTTGGTTGGTTGGTTGGTTGGTTTTTCATTTTTTCAAGACAGTGCTTTTCTGCATAGCTTTGTAGTCTGTCCTGGAACTCACTCTGTAGACCAGGCTGGCCTCAAACTCATAGAGATCCACCTACTTCTGCCTCCCAAGTGCTGGGATTAAAGGTGTGTGCCACCAACTGCCTGGCTCAATCCACAATTGTTAAGTGCATGTTTTTTACTAATATCCATAAACTATTCTAAACCCAACTTACCAAGACTCATCCTCAACCCACACACTAGAATTCAAGATGTATAATAACCCAAACTTAAGACATAACCTCTCTCAAAAAGACAAACATGATATGTACTCACTCATATGTGGACTTTAGACATAGAGTAAAGGATTACCAGCCTACAATCCACACTTCCAGAGAAACTAGTAAACAGGAGGACCCTAAAATAGACAAACATTGTCCCTGAGCAAATTGAGAGCATGGGAAGAGGGGGGAGGGAGCTACGAGAATGAGAAGGGAAGAAAAGGAAGAATGCAGAGGTCATGAGGGAGCAGAAAGGTTGAGTCAGGTGAAGAATAGAGGAAAGGGTATGTGATAGGTAGGGTTTAGTTGGGGGGTGGTAGGCGAGGAAGGGAGGGAGAAGGGAACTGGGATTGTCATGTAAATCAATCTTGTTTCTAATTCAAATTTTAAACAATGAAAATAAAAAAAGAGATCCCTCTCTCTTTCTTGACCCTCTCTGTCTGCTCAGTCCCACCATACTGATGACAGGAGTGACAAGGATGAGTCAGAGGTGAGGGTAGGGACATGGCAGACAGTAAGGGGACTCAGTTGCCCTCTGATCCTGCAAGTGAAATCTGTATGAAAGGACCGTCCGTCCCTGTGCTGGGGATACCTGGGAATGAGAGCAGGTTTTCTTTTCCAGTTTACAGCCCGACATTTATAATAATCATTTGCTAATGAGATTTTAATGATAATAATCTATCACGCCATTTCTATGTGTAAAAGACAGGTTCTTCTGTTGCATTTTCCTTCATAATTAGGAACTTTCTACTTACAATTGCCTCTCACCTACCATGTCAGGTGGGATAAATATTACAAAATTACGGGAAGAGTTAATGCAGGTGGTGATAAAACAGAGTAGTGCTTCAGATGGACAGAAGGACAGGAAAGGCAGAGGCCAAGACAGACACACAGTCATATGATATACTCAGCCTAACTGAAGGTCCAGATGACTGAATTGTCCCTAGCACACCAAAGTGAGGGGTGTGTGTGTGTGTGTGTGTGTGTGTGTGTGTGTGTGTGTGTGTAACATAAAATCTCTGTCTCGCCAAGATGTTTTATAAATCAAGTGATATAATTGACCACCACAAATATGAAGGTATGTGACACACAAGGATTCCCATGTGTCAATCGGGCCCTATCATCTATTGATTTGTAATGTCAAGGGCTTCAGCCTGATTATCTAATTAAATTTGAAAAAAAAATGTGCTTTTGCAGATGGGTATCCAACACCTCACCCCAATGTCAACGAAGCTGTGTTGTCCAAATACCAACTGCCTCTCCTCTATGTGTTGATGGCTAAAACACATATATACATAAATATCCATTTCTCACATTTTATTATAGTCTATGACCCAACCATCTTCCTTGTTTGTCTTTTATTCAAATAAACAATACAAAATTCTTCCTTTAAAATGATGATTAGGAGTTGTCACACACATGACATTATTTCCACAGTCTGATTGGCTTTTTCTGGCTTGGGAGACCACTGACCCTGAGCCTCTAACTTCTGTGGTTACAATCTTTGTTTCAAGTTATTAATGACACTCCTAACAACCCTGCAAAGTAATGTCACATCCATTTTGAAGATGAGTTAAAAAAAAAAAAAAGGCTTAGGTTTGTTATGTGTATGACCTAAGGTCCTATTAGTAATGAATTGTAGAAAAAAAAAAATCCTGAACTTGGGCAAGTAGAAACCACAGCAAGGATTCTCACACCTTCCCGTATTACCCCACACAGCTTCCTGGTAGGAAGTTAATGGATTCAGCTCTGACCAAGGATGAAAACAGTAGCACGGAGATGAAAAGTAGCTGTCTACTAAAAGACTTCCCTCAGCTAACTCAGCTAGCTCACCCTTACAACCTCCCAGGCTTCCCTGCTCTGTCTCTTTCTGGCATTTCCTAACTCTTCACTCTTTCCTTAGTTTCATTATCTTCTTCTCTGAATAACACAAAACAAAGGCCTCTGAGCTCTCTGCTCAGCTCTTTAAGTGACAAACCAACCCACACAAAAATGGCCTCCAAGACATGTCCCCTGAATCCATGAACAAGTAGGTAATAAAAGCATGCAAAGTTGCTACCGTGAACTTATTTTTTAGGACTTCCTCAAATGACTTTGTGTTCACCACCACCCCACCCCATCCTGTCTTACTTATTCTAACTGCCTGTGGTTCAGTAACTGCCTATTTTTTAGTAACTGCATTGGAAATTGTCACCACCCAGATCCTCCAATCCCATAGCCCAGTGCTCAGCCTCCCAGAGAAGAGTACATGCTGCTGATGGCTGAGTTACATACCAGAATCAACCTCTGCATAGGGAGCCACCTTGCTTAAGGTCACACCACTGCCTGTAGTCAGCTGGAAGGCAAGCTTCTGGAAAAGTTGCCCCAGCTAGGGACAGCTGGAAACCATCCAGGCCTGAGGGAAAGGGAGGGGACTTGTACAGCTGCCATTATGAATTCATGTGAGTTCAGCTTCCCCCTCGGTCCAATGCTGTTTCCCTCTCTTATTTACAAATGCTCCTGGGACTCCCACAGGCAAATCTCAACATCTGTGTCTTGGAAACTTGACTGAATACAATACTCTACACTCCTAACGTCAGTCATATGCACAAATATTGTCACTTTAGCTAAAGGGTAAGACTGCAGTATTGACATAGAAGGCACATGGATATGATGTCCAGAAGCATATGAAGAGGTACATGGTGTAAAAATTAAAATCTATGAGCCATTCCTCCTTGTATCCTATTTGAAGTGTTTACTTCATATTTCATAGCTTTACATAGCTTTGCCATTGTAATATTTTCATGCATATTGACACTTGGATATCCTGCCCTTTTCTATGTCCTTGGTTTTGGTATCTGTATAGAGATTTAGATACTTTCTAAGCTTTACTTCACATTGTCAACATGAAAACTCTTAGTACCTTTGTGTATGTTCCCATGTGTGTTGGTTCATGAATGTGTGTTGATTGTGTGTACGCCTCATGATTTGTATGTGTATGTGTGTGAATATGTGCATGTATATTGCTGTGTGTGGATTTTTATGTGTGGGTATGCACGTGGGTATATGAAGGGGTTTGTGTCTATGTGTGCAAATGTATGTGTACGGTTACATCGGTGTGGGTTATGCATGTGCACATGTAGACATGTGCCATGTTGTATATAGAATGCACTATGTGCATGTGTGTGCACTTCTGTGTAGGTGTGTATCTGTTCTGTACTTGTAGGTATGTATGTATGCACATTTGTATGTGAGTGGATGGGTAGGTGGATGTATACATGTGTGCATTGTGTTCATGTGTATGGGTGCACATGAATGAGGATATATGTATGTGTTCATGTACTTGTGTGTCTGTGCACATATGTGTGTGCCTGTTCATGTGCCTGCACACATCTTACATTATGCTATTTACCATGGAAATAGAGATACAGGCACAGTTTTAATTAATGGCTATATATCTTGATATAGGTTAAGGTGAAGTATGTCAGTACAATCTGAACATGTAAAGCTAAGATACTAATCATACAAACGACACACAAAAACAGGTCACTATATTGCAGAGACTGAAAATAACTAGGTAATGTACTAGATGACGTGACTCCATGACTATACAAGCATCAAGAGCTTATGGGGACAGATATAAATAAAGCTCTAAATAGGCATAAAGGAAACTTCTCAAAGCATACCCAATAACTACAAAGAAGAGAGATTTTCATAAGTTATCTGCCCAACCCCTGTCAAGTTGAGGTTCTCATCTTTTGGAAAGACATGAATTGAAGAATAAGGAGGGTGAAGAAATACAGATGGCACCATATCGGCAAGCTGAGAGAGGAATGGATCTCCAGTCCAAATCCCAGGACTTGGAACAGCTGTTGGACCCACACTCCGATAGTGCAGGTGCAGATGGGACAGGGTCCCTGCCTGAGACAGAAAAGAAACAGATAAACTGGAGTCAGAGTCTGAAATATTGATCATACTCTCAGTCTGTTTCTGAAGCAGTGAAATCCCAAAAGGACATTAACACACTAACAATTTCGTGACATTTATTAATGGAACAATGTTAGTAATGGCATATAAAAGTCTACAAAATCAAGCATTCTACTCCTGCCCCAACTGTATAGTATTAAAAACATCTAAATTTGCTGAAGTTCGGTGGAGCCCTCCCTCCCTTCCCTCCTTTCCTCCCTTCTCTCCCTCCCACCCTCCCTCCCTCACTTTCCTCCCTCCCTCTCTCTGTGGTTGTGCGTGTATGATATATATGTACAGGTATAAAAATATATACACGCGCACACACACATACACACATACACCACACATATATGTGCAGGTGAGTTCCTCCATGCCCAGATATTCATGCTGAGTATCTTCCTTAATCTCCCCCCAATCTTATATTTGAAACATAATTGTTCATTTATCCTGGAACTTGCTGTTCCAGTTACAATGGGTGGCCAACTAGCCCCAGGGATCCAACTGTGTCTGTTTTCCAAGCATAGAGGTTATAGGTGTGGATTATCCTTAGCTTTTTGTTTGTTTGTTTGTTTGTTCCGGGATTCTAACCACAGGTTAGAATATTGCAGAATAAACAGTCTACCGGAGACATTCTCTAACCCTTACATATCTTCTAAATCAAACTGCTGATGGCACAAGGAGCTACAACTTGTTTGAAATATATGTGAAATTATCTACTAATTTTGAAAATATACATATTCCAAGACAACTTTCCCATTTCTGGTGGAAGTGTTCAACCACACTGGTTGGTAAAACCTAGGAGGAGAATAGAAAGATAGGTGCAAGGGAGAAGAGGAGGGGAAGTGAGGGCAAGGGGAAGTAGAAAGAAAAAGAGGAGATTACAGTATCTTCAGAGAGTGCTATATGATATAGGTGAAAATGAACTACAAACAACCTGAATGAGACTACCATTATATGCAAAATAAAGAAAATACATATATAAGAATATGTGTATTCAATATATAAGAATATATATTATATATAAGAATTGTATATAATACTATATATAGTAATATCTCCCCTTTTAAAATGTATAAAAATAGCATAATATCTAATGATACAGAGTGATACCAACTCACAGCACTCAGGCATCTCAGGGGGGCAGAAAGTGGATGGGAGTGGGAGTCAACACAGAGGCCTTAGAAGTCATGATACAATTCTGTTCCTAAGCTAGGTGCTGGGTCCAGACATACTTGCATCTTTACATCTTATCATCATTAGGTGTATTTCTGTGCAGGAATCAACTGTTTTTAGAAACAATATACTTGGTGAGGAAATTCTTTGAAAATTGTTAGTGACTTGCCAGCTAAATAGCCCTTGCCTGTTTTTTAAAAAAGAAATTTATGAAAGTTTACATTTTCAGATCAATTTTCCAAAGTTAAGGATTGTTTTTAACTGTCTGCTTTGTACCTATAATTTATTTTCAGTAGATTATTCTGTGTTGCTTATGCTAGAAAAAAAGAGAGAGATGTATAAATTCTCAAACAAACATACAATTTTCTTGTGTTTTACCACTTATTTTATTAAGTTCACTTGTTCTTACCTTTGTTCTTGTTACAAAAGCAATTTAAATCATAGCTTTAAAAATGAGAAAATATAGACAAACCAAAGTAGAATAAAAAACCACTTGCAGTCCCACTGTTGAGAATGTGAAACTCTTGCCAAATGATTTTCATTGCTGTCTATGAATTAATATAATTATGGAAAGACTGGCTATTTTTGTATGTAGGAGTGTCCTACAATTTACCATGATTCATTTAGCTAATCTAAACTCAAAAGAAGAAAACTTTCAGATATGCCATGTTTTCCTCTTTATTGGAAAGAATTTGTAGATGCTGTCAAGGATATATAAGGATATATAAGGAGCCTGGATGGAAAACTCTTTTCAAGGGTCAACTGCAATCAACCGGGTTGATTCTGTGAGCCAACCAACCCCCACAGTAGGAACTCTGGTGTAGAAGGAATGGTATCTTACATCCGCCATTGGGACCTCCTGGCCTCTGTTCATGATCAAGCTTTTAAGATGTCTCCAGTTTCACAGCTGTATATCCTATGAGACACTCTACTCTAACCTGAACATTTGGTTTTTGGTTTTTTGTCTTTCTTCCTGTAGTCTATATTGAAATGTGCCTAGATCGCCTTGTATCTAAACCATCCATCCAGGTCTGTGTGACCTGATATCTTTAAGACTCCATGTTTGCTTCTTAGTAGAAAAACCAACTCTTAAAATAGCATGATAAATATTAGGCAATATGTAATGGCAAGAAACATTTGAAATTTTAATCACCTAATTAGAAATAGTCTACTTTGTATATTATTAAGAATTCCCTAAAGAGGTAGGACCGTGGAAAAGAAAACTATATAAACCTCAGTTTAATACTTCAGGCAGGTAGCTATAAATGTTAGCTGTCACATCACAGTTGTTAGACTGATGAGAGAAGGGACCAAGCTGAGAAGAGACTTATAGTATTAAATTAGGTGTGGATTATAGTAAATTGCAATAAACTTTGAAATATCTCTTCACACGTGTTCATTTTTATGAATATTGTCAAGTGTCCCAGTCGAGTGTGGGTCTGAACTCTGGGAAGACTGCTACCAAGAGAAAGCTAATGCTCTTCCCTGAAACAGCATTAGCTTTGTTTAGATCCTCATGCATGACTGATGTTATCCATCCTAATGCTAACAAAGTTCCTTCTAGAATCAGCTATCCAAACCCTCCCATTTGGGATTCAAAGGAAGCAATGCTATTGTAGTAAGAGCAAGAATTTGCATGTGTGTGTATGTCTTCAAGTCCTGGTCCTTACATTCACTGGCCTCAGGCATGTAGCTTGCCTGCCTGACTCTTGAATACAAAATACACACATAAAGACTATCTAGCAGGAATATTTTAAAGAGAAACATGAAATTGTCAAAATATCACTTCCCACAATGACCAGTTCATTTACTAAGCTTAGGAAATGTCTAATGGCAATGTATGCCAGGGGTATAATATTCTGGGATTTAAATAAACGCCATTAATTTCTACCTCAGGTTTTTGTGGTTTTTGCTGCTATTTTTTGCAGTCTTGTTTTCTAGCCATAACCTACATTTTAAAATTGTTTCTTGACTAGATTGCTTCTCGAAACGCTTCCTAACTCCTCTGGCCCACTAACACTTTCACAGCATATGATCACACATGGAGCTGTCAGCAGCAGTTTCAGGCCAGCACAGGCACACAGTTCCCCATGAGAGTTGGGAGCTGGCAGGACAGAAGCTTGCCAGGGCTCTGTAGCTGCTCCTGGCATTGTAAATGTATGACCAGGGTGTTGCCAGCCATGAAGGAAAGGGTTGGTTCCATGGTTTGGATACAAGGAAGCTATTCATAGATTCAAAAGCCTCTTTTTGCAACAAAATGAAACCACCACAATAAAGCCAAAAATAAAAATATGTTCCACTGGAAATATAAACCACACCCCAAACCAGTACCCCTTTCACCCTTAAATCTCCTACATGCTGGGGATCTTAGTGAGCTCCTAGACATTGGATCTCTTTTGGTGAAACAACTCCAAGGCTCAGAAAATGGGGACATAAAAAAAAAGATGAAATGAAGGGAAGTAGGGGATTCCCAGGTTTCTCTTTCAGATTACAAGGGAAAAAAAGTCTTTGAACTAAAAGGAAACTGAAAGTTATGTTTTCTCTCAACCTCAGGGAAACCACTAAATGTGCAGCTGTATAATCCCTGAGATCAGCTATCCCTGTATGGCCACTGGCCTATGCTGTCCTTACAGGCAGCAGCCAGCCCCACCTGGGAGGAGATCCTTTCTGTTTTGCAAGTCCCTTGACCATATACGTTGTGTGTGAGTGTGCACGTGTATGTGTGCATGTGTGTATGGGTGTGTGTGTGTGTGTGTGTGTGTGTGTGTGTGTGTGCATGTCTGTGTGTTCAAACAAATGAGAGGTAGAGGGCTTTAATGTCATAGCTGCTTCATCCTGCTCTTTCTTCATTCCCATCTCGGCCTCTTCCAGGTAGTCCTCAAAGCATCCTCTTCAGGACAGCCCCCCCCATACAGACCCACAATTTCCCAGCCTCAGCAGACCACTGTGGAGTCAGAAGGGGCATGGAAAGCTGGTGTGAGGCAAAGAGCACAGAGCAATGCAAGTGAGAACGGGATCAGTGTACTCAGGATTCGAGTGTCATTTCTCCACTTAGCAGAGTTAGCAGGACAGTTGCCCCAGCTCACTGGTCCTACATTTCAGTCCTTACCTGTAGGATGGAGAATTATACCTAGAGATCTTAGGGAAAGTCATACACATTAACGTGTGTAGATCACTTAGATGTGTTTTGCTACCTGGTTCAAATTATAATTGGGAGCTCACATCTCAAACTTGGCACCTCTGTTTTCTTAATCAAAATTGTAGAGACCGTAACAACTTGGACACAGGAAAAAAATGAAGAAATGCCCACTTCATAATGAAGTATGTTTTATTCCAGGTTGGAGGCTCCTTCATGTTTCTCACTTTGTATATATTCCATTTATGAATACACAGTTGTTTTTGAATCTCTATGGTATCATTCAGAGTGGAGGCAGAACTTTTATAAAGAATTTAGATGCCTTCAGTGGATCAGCTACTGCTAACTCACAACTGAGACCTTTCATACCCAATAACAATAATTTGAATCTCTTAAACTCATCAGTGCAGATATCCAAATCCTTCCTAATGTGAGAACAGAATTTCCTCACATTAAATCTTTATCTCACCAAACAAAAATGTTAAGAAACACACGATTTGCAGATATATGCAGACCTTTTAAATCATATACCAGGCACAGGGCTGGTCCTGAAAAATACCAGAAATCTTACTATCTAGAATTATGTGTACCCTTTACCCCCCCCCCATTCAGTTCCCACCACCTTACATGTCTTATATATAAA